ACATAGTGAGCTTAGGACGTGGACTTTGTCTATTCATCACAACCTAGGGGATGAATAAAACAGAGCTTAATAACACATTGCCGCATGAAGACTAACACAATAAATTATATCACAGATTTTGTATATTTACTAGAACCTAGAGAGTAAACAATACGAGGATGAACCTGTGCATTTATCATGACCTAGAGGATAAATGACACGAGTATAGGCTTATGTATTCATCACGGCCTAGAGGATGAATAATATAACCCTGACAATTCGCATACCTATCACAACCTATGGGATAGATAATTGAAAAAGTTTGTGTGTTTATCCCGACCTAGAGGATAAACGACATGAAGATAGATTTATGTATTCATTACGACCTAGAGAATGAATAATATAAACTCGATAATTCGCACACCTACCACAACCTAGGGAATATATGATTGAAAAGTTTGTGCGTTTATCGTGATCTAGAGGATAAATGACACGGGGATAGGCTTATGTACTTATCGTGACCTAGAGGATAAATAACATAATTCCAGTGATTCGCATACCTACCACAACCTAGAGGATAGATAATATAAGGATAAGATTGTGAATTTATCACGACCTAGAGGATAAATGACATGAGGATATGCTTACGTATTTATCACGACCCAGAGGATAAATAACATAATCTCGGTAATTCACATACCTACCACAACCTAGAGGATATATAATACGAGGATAGATTTGTGCATTTATCACGACCTAGAGGATAAATAGAGGATAGACTTTTGTTTTCATCATGACCTAGAGGATGAATAACATAAACCTGATAATTCATTATCGCTTAGAGAGTGACACAATGAACTATAGATTTTCGCATATCTATCACAACTTCGGGGATAGATAATACGAGGATAGGTTGGTGTATTTTACACAACCTAAAGGATAAATAACACAAACTTAATAATTCATTATCTCTTAGAGACTGATACGATGAAAAATTGGTTGCATTTGGGCAACCATTGAAAAACACCTTTAGAAACCCCAAAAAAAAAACTCCTAAATTTAAAATTTTCAATAGTGTGGCCTTTCTTGCATCCATATGACAATTTAAATCTTCACCATCACTAGAATCACTATCAATGTGCTCACTTCAGAACCTTGAAAAAGAAGTCCTAAAAGCTTAAGACTTCGTTTCTTCCTCCTTATTCATGACTTTCTGCTTTTTCTTCTTCTTCTAGAGTTTTTTTTCCATGTTTGTCTAAGCAAGTAAGTTCTTGTTCATGTTATTTAAACTTACCAAACAATGCAGTGAGTTCAAGTGTTGCAAGATCACTGGCTTCCTTGATCGCGGTGACCTTCGGTTTCTAACTCCTAGTAAGACATCTCAAAATATTGTTAGTAGAAACGGCATTGAAAGTAGGCTTACCAAGTGCGTTTAAACGATTATTGAGATTTAATGTATTTTTCTCATCATCATTATTCCATAGTGTTTCCGGCTTAGGTGTGACACCACCATCAACAAAAATTGTTACCAGTGTTGGACCATTTAAAATAGCATCCCACACACTTTTATCATATGAGTTAACATGAATCCGCATACAAGCTTTCCAATAACTATAGTTTTCTCCCGAAAGATTTCGGGCTCTTTTGTAATCTCCTTTAGGTTCATACACCATTTTCTAATAATAGTTTTGAAGCACAAAATTAACCGGAGCTCTAATACCAATTGCTAAACTATGGCGACTTATTTAGAGGGGGTGAATAGATCCCCATTTAAAAATTATCTTTCAAAAAAAGTTATTTAAAAATTTATTTGGAAAACAATGTTGAGCTGAAGGTTTTTGGCCTATATTAAAATAGTATTCTAAATGAACCTAGTTATTGGAAACTCGGATATGCACAAGCCTTATGAAAATAAGATAATGATATGATAAATCAACATAATAATATATCAATTAACAGTTTAATATCAAGCACAACGATTCTCTATTTTCAATAAAATCATGTTAAAAATATAACTTGACAATTTATCAAACACGTGACGCACAATCAATGTTTCATAATTTTCTTTGAGCTTTGTTGATATGTAAAAGCACTTACACTCAAAGTGATTATAATCTAATTAACAAAGCAATTTAAACTTTGACGAGCAAAGGAAAATTATATACGAATTGATTGATCAAACAACACATTCAACAAATTTCATATGGAAAGTAAATGAGAGTAAGAGATAGAGAGAGAGCGACACAAGGATTTGTTTAGGAAGTTCACTAACCGTCCTCACTATGACTACGTATTCTCCCAATTCTATTTTTGAATTGAGATAAATTTCTTACTTTGCAAAGTATGATTACAAGAGAAGTGTTCAAGAGCAACTCTACAAACCCTAATTGTTTGATGTTGATTCAACCTTTTCTCTTCTTTTGATCTTCAGCAAGACCAAGATACAATAGCTACCAATTGATTTATCGAATCTTGTTACTCCTTTGGATACCAAACTCCAAAGCTCTTTCGCACACGATCAATTGTACCTATTGCACACAAGACCTTTCAATTTGATTTGTTGTTCTTGCGCTAATTCATTGGGTACCAAACTCTGAAGGCTTTTCACTTGGCCGCAATCCTCTTTTGAAAGTCTTGAACAAAACCCCGAAATCTACCAAAGATCTTAAAGGAAAACCCATAGATTTTTTCGGATGAAACCCCCCACAATTCTCAATCCAATATTCTCGGTTACACAAAATCCTAATTGGCCGCTATCAAACCTAGCCTAGATGACACCCCAACAAAAGATGATTATATGTGATTTATTAGTATGTATGCATAGGTTGAAGGTTGAAGGTGAAGAGCAGTGGTGGTAAGTGTTTATAGTTTTATCAAGTTAGAATTATGCATGAATGATGTATTTATAGCTATGAAAGTTTGTATTCAAAGAGGTTTATGTGCCAGCACGAAAAGCTTATGTGTCGGCTTGAAAAGCAGATGTGCCGGCACATACAAGTGTGTTTTGTGCAGAAAATGATTTTTCATGATTTGGATCAAATTTTAAACTTGTTTTGAATGCTTCCTGAGATCTTTAATGTAAGGGTGCGCCAAACGAAATAGAGATATCGTCCAATATACAGAAATGCTAAGTTTTCTTAATTTTGATATCATGCAAAAAATCTAATAATGAAGTTGCACTCACTCACAGGTATAACGTGGGGGTGACACGTTAAGTTCTCCAACTTATTACTTTGTTCATAAGGAATTTTCATCCTATTTTCATAAGTTTTTCAAAATAATTATTTTTTAAAATTTAATTCAAAGTACAAAATACCATATAATATAATAAAAGTATTCATGTGTATTTAAATAGGCCACTCCAATAGGTTGAAAATATATTTTTTATGACATGAGACCTAATTTTTTTAATTAAATAGACATATAAAAAAATCTATATATTTTTTATTTAAAAAAAATCTGATCAGATCTGGACCTATGTCTGATCGGATCTGTTGATTGAAATGACATATTCTCACTCCTGGTCCTAATTGATATTTTAAAAATATGTGTGGTGCAATCTTGGAGGTGTCAGCTAAGTTCCTTCTCAAATATGCTTGTTGTTATTGAAGTATACTTGAAATAAGAGGAACATCCGAGCATTAGACCTTAAAAACCAATGAAGTTAAAAGGTGTAACTGTAAGTTCATATTTTCACTTGTAAAATCATGTATATTTTCTTTCAAAGTGCAACTTATCTAACATTGCATTGTGATTGGCAACTAATGGCCAAGTTTTTATAGTAAATTAAAATCAGTTAGGTATATAAGTTTTGTATGATCTTGGCTATTTAGGTTCATGATATTCTTATGGTCAGGGCTAACTAAGAAAATCAGTTGGATCTTTCTTGTTGATATGTTTATCTTTTGTCACTGTTTTTTGTTCAAGCTTATTCGACTTTAGTTTTTTCAATCAATATTTGGATTATTGGATTAGAAATGCTGAAAACTAAAACCAATAAACAACAGAATTTTTTTGATGTGGATTTCTACTCATACCATTTTTCACAATGAGTCATCCTCAAGTGTTGAAATTAATTTAATTTAATCTCAATGCTTCAAGGAAATTTGATATCCAGTACAGGAGTTGAGAACAAATATATTGCTCTTGCTATCTTGGAAATCATGTGTTCAATCTCTCATTGAGCTGGAAATCCATTTTTCCACTCCTACTATACTTTGTGACAACATGAGCACCCATCACTCTTGCCCATAACCATGTCCTTCATGCTTGTATCAAATATACTATAGAAGTTGACATCTTTGTCAGAGAAAACAACCATGTCCTTCCAAACATATGGAACTTGACATCTTTGTCAAAGAAAACCTGCTCAATAAACATCTCTCGGTCACTCACTTTCCTGGCCAATCGTGTTCCCCGTCATTTTCAGTGTTCTAATATCATGACCAAGGCCTCGACTCCCTCCAATTTGAAGACCTTATATCCAAGTCGATTGCATGTCTCATCTCTACTCACAATCACACATATTCAAGTAGGAGTACTTCAGTTATATTAGCCAGGGCTCGTGAGTCATGAGAGCTTGATGTTGGCCTTCCCATATACTAACATAACTAACTGTCAAAGACAATTAGAACAATTGGAATTGTCAAATTTGACTAAGTTACCTCTGCTTGCACAGATCATTATAAAGTCTATAAATAAACCAATCACAATTGTAATGATTACACAATTATCATAACAGAAAATCTAATCAAAATTCCAAGACAATCATGGAGCAATATTCTAAATTCTAACAAATACTAATCCAAGAGATAAAAAAATAAACCAAAAACAAAAGATAACAAAACTTCTATCTGGGATGTATATGTCCTATTGCCATTCTGCAAAAAGCTTGTGCCGCATTAGGCATAATAACCAGTGCCATTAAATAAATCTATCATGGTAAGAAGAAATTACAAAATATGGGTGGTATGCAATGCTCAAAGCCAGAAGATCCTTGATAAAAAAGTGTTCTAAACATGCTATTGACTTTTTGCATCACTAGCACCTCCGTTTCCTGCCTCCTCAACACTTGCTGAGTTTGTGTAAGAGGGTTGTTGATAATGTCCAGGCATAGTCGGGGGCGGCATGTTTATCGGGTGGTCATACTTACAGGCAGGTCCAAACTTGCAAATTCCATATCGGCTGTAATGCGTGCATGCATTCTGGCCCTGAATTTCATGATATATTAAATGTTAGATCAAAGAAACTGGAAAATCACTGATAGAACATTATAGCATAATTTGATCCATGGATCATGTAGCCGACTCCACTTAATCTGATAAGGCTTGGTTGTTGTTGTTTTATATAAAAATCATCACTGAAATAGGGGGAAAAGTAGTTTTCAGTAGCATAAGACAGCATAATAAAGTAACTTACAGGTCTCAAAGGCAGACCCTTGTCACTTAGGTTGCAAGGAGGTGATCTTGTAATCCGATTCTTTGGATGGTGAAATTTGCAATGGAACTTAAATTTGCAGTCCCCAGTTTTTAAGAAGAAACTACACTCAGGTTCACCAGGTCTTTCTGGAAACTCTTCAACAGACGTCTGCTTATGACGGTGCTTATGAACATTTGTTTCAATAGCTGGGTTGTTCACGGCATATGGTGCAGGTGGATGCATACCCCTCTCTGATAAATAGACAGGTACCTTTACAAACCACAAATTTGTCAAACTGCTGGGAAAATGCTAAGAATTTGATAGGCATAATAACTAATTGACAGAGAAATAGGGGGAAAAAATACAATGGTTTCTTGATTTATACTCCAATGTACAAAGTTTGCCCCATAAGAATCAAGACATGCAACAAAACAGCGAATAATAAGAGGCTTAGGAAATAAGCATGAAATTTAAAACATTGAATTACACATGAAACTATCACTAGCATATTGCTAGTGAGTGAACACCTTAAGTATATATTAGTTAAGGAGCATTTAACAACTTATATGAAATGTTATTAATTACTTTAGAAATACTTTACTTAATAAATTACTAACAAAGCATGTTACTTCACAATTTTACTTCTGAAAATGCAGTAAAATTACTCAGTGCAAGTTTTTCATTATATGACAGAGGAACAGAAAACATAGACATTGTATGATAGATAGTTGGCATAGTAATTTGTCATCACGTACCAATGATATAAAAGAATAGGTGATTGTCTACATAGTTATTATTAGCATCAAGTCTATTGATTTACCTGATATCCATTCCAGTCAGAACTTCGAGGAGAAACCACCGGAGTCGGTGAAATTATGATTGGCACAAATGGAGCAGTTTCATTGAATTTTCTGGTAGAAGATGTCTGTGATACATTGTGTAATGAAATAGAACTTCCATTACCATATGCTGAAGTGGAATCATATCCTACAACAGATGTCGGATCAGGATGATTAAACTTGCAGGTTGCTCCAAACTTACAAGAGCCAGTTTGCATGTAATAGGGACACTCTTTCTCACCCTGTCATGAAAAAAAAAACCTCATTAAGATTTCAGGAAATGTATTTCAATCAACAGAAAGAGATAACAGATAGTGAACACCAGCAACAAACTTTCAGCATAATTTGCTAAATAATGAAATAAGTTCATACCAAACGAATAGGTAGTCCGAGGAAGTTAAACTCTAAAACTTGGACGGCTGAATACTTTCCTCTAGTGTGATCAAATTTACAATCCTTTCCAAACATACAACCCCCTGACCTTGAATAATACTGTCATAACATCAGGAAACAAAAAAAATTCTTTATAACTATAACCAAAATAAATAGTAGGACAAGTTTAAGATATGGCTAACGAAAGAGAATAATAAACATATACATCATAATATGCAAGTACCCTCCATCCATAAATTGTTTAATAGATCTAACTTTTTTTCTATAGAGCAAAGCAAGGCCAGGATACAACGACAGATAATTTTTGTCATGAGGTGCTAGATCAAGAATAAGAATTTAGCCATGTAACATCAAAAGAAGGAATTCAAATCCGGTCGTAAAATGGTCATTAGTGTCGCTATAATTAATAAAAAACCTATGCCAGCAACATATTGATAGTTGACATAAAATAATTTTTATAACATCATTTACTCAATCAAATCCAACCATAGGTGATTGTTTATACTAGCAAGTCAAATCCAAGCATAGGTGATTCTAATATAAAATAACTTTAATAACAACATGCAACCAACCTGAGAACCAAAGTTAAAGCATTCATAAAATACAATATTAAATCCAAAGTCTACAAATTACAAAAGAATATAACACCGTAATTTCAAAAATACCTTGCATTCTGTCTGGCCTGCTCTTTTCTCCAATTCATCTCTTTCTCCCGCTCTCTCTTTAAAAGCCTTCATTTAGAATCAAATAAAAGCTAATTAAAACATGAAAACACATAAGCAGCTTTAAAGAAGTGGACATGTTTACATTACAAATTTCATGCTTCTCTTTCAATACTTAAGATACCTAAAAGAATGCATTAGTATATAACATTTTTTTGGTAGACATCAGGCCTCCTCTGCGCGCAACTGCAGAGACTAATCTCTCAAGCTCTCCTCGAGATGATACTAATAACACCCATCTAATGATACTAATACTATGTTTGTGTTATTAGTATAGAACATTTAGTTTAATTTGCAGCCACACAAAAACAATTGACAACATTGTAGTAGAAAGAGTAATATAATAAAGTGATACCGAGTTTTTTCTCCTAAGAGGGTGATTAAACTTGCAATTGGATCCAAATTTGCAAGTCCCAGTCTTGAGATAAAAGGAACAGTCTTCAGCTTCAGGCCTCAGTGGGTACAGTTCAGCTCTACCATTACCATTGCTTCTTTCATCCTTGTTCTCCACTTGATCAACTTCTCCACTAACAACAACATTCTCATTCACATTCTCCACCCAGTCATTCACCTCATCATCCCCATTCCACCCATCATCGTCACCATTCCAACCATCATCATTATGACACTCTTGACCCTTTTCAGATTCTACAGCAACAACTTCAAAGTTTGAACCTTTCTCATGAATTTCGTCATCATCTTTCAAATCCAACTTGTTTTGAAGCTCCTCGTCAAGCTGGGTCACGTGATTGAGATCTGAGGGTTCAGGAATCAATAGTGGGTCTTTGATGGAGGAATCGATGGATTTGGATTGTTGAGAGGGTTCCATTGGTGATGGAGTCCCAACACATTTAACTGATAAAAACCCTAATAATTGGGAATTGATTGAATGTAGAAAGAAAGAATGTGGGTTTAATTGATTGGGGAAAATAAAAGGGTATTAGATAATTTTATTGTTGGTGAAAAGTGTTGTTGATGATGATTGTGTCTGCATTGGACATTACAGTGTGTAGGTCAAGAAGAAAATAAATAGTGTCTTGTGATGGCATGCTACTATTTGGCTTTAAAAAAACAATACTCATCCCTTTTTTTTTCTTTTTTTTCTTTTTATTAAATTACTATATTAATATTATCGGCTCATTAGTCCAATATTCCGTAAATGGTTCAAACGTGGATAAGTTATCCACGTTTCTATGCTGACTCGTTAATTACGCTCGAACAATTATGAAGACTTTCTTAATTAAAATTGAACGATCCAAAGTACTAAAGATTGATTAATTATGGTTCCTATATTGAAGGGATGTCATTAACCACATTTTTAATAGGTCAAAATTAGGTTCTGCGTGGTCGATTTGTAGGCAAAAATATTGGCACCCCTTAGGCAAAGACTAAAATTATAAATACCTGACTAAATAGTTATTTCAAGGTATCACTTATTCAGATATCAAAAATCTAAATGTTATTGCTCGATTGATTGTAGGGAGAATCATTTTTATTGTACTCATCGCAAGTAGATTTGCGTCCCCGTGAGGTCTGATAACACTTATCGATATCACACATTTTTCACAAGAAAAAATGTTATGGAGAAATTACACCTCCAAAATCAAGCCACGTAAATCAGGTTCTCCATGACAAACTACCAAAACCTTCCTATAAATTTAATCCACTAGTTTTCAACGAGCAAGCACCGCAAAGTGTCCACCACCAATTTGTTCAATATACGCTTAGTACATTCAGATTCATTATGAGAATATCTGATGAGGTTCAATGATGACACCATTAAAGTGAGAAACCTTAAGCGAGAGATGTTCGTAGGAGTTTTTCAAAAAAGACTTAAGAACCTTTGAATCTTAATTAGAAGGTGACGGGGAACGAGTCCATTAAGTTGTGAAAATATCATAAAGCCAAGGGTCATCACTCGTATAATTACCACCAACTAAAGAAGGAAATAAAGTGTCTTGTCCAAGAGGGACACTTAAGAAGGAACGTCCAAGGCATGTCATATAACTGTGGGGATAGGTCATGCCCTTATAAGAGATACAAGTCTAGAAGGTCTTATTTAAAAAGAGAAAGTGGTCCAGAATAAAGGAATAGGGTGAACTAACTCACCATACGCTCAATAGAATGACTGGAGATTTTGGTGAATGAGGTGAGTCGAGCTCTCCTCTAAAAAGGAAGTTTCACCAAGCTATGCATGGTATAAAGCATTCAAAATGGGCTAGTCAATATTGTTGGATGTGACTCCACACACAAGAGAGGGGTGAATTGTATGTTTCAGAAAAACGGTAATTTGAAAAACTTTCAGGATTATTTTCCGATTTTGAAAACATTTTTAAAATGTTTGAGATATTTGTAGTGGAAATTAAATACGCAGAAAGTAAAGAGCGGAAAATAAAGAGTTAAGGGATAGAGAAATAACACCAGGAATTAAATAGGTTCGATAAAAAGAAAATACATGATCCTCTCCCCAGGATTTATTCTTAAGAGTATCTAGTAATTCTTAAGATCTTTTAGTAGGTTAAACTCTCGAACCCTCTTATACAAGAAAAAATGACTTTTCAGGCTAACTTACAACCAAACAGTGAATAATGGAAAGAAGTGGCTAGTCTTCCTTCTAAACGGAGGATTGAAACTGTTAGTCTTTTTTCCAAAAAAACAAATTGAAGTGGTTAGTCTCCAAGTTAAACCAATATTTTACACTGGCTTATCTCGAACTAACGTGAGATTTTAAATCGGGTTGAACACACAAAGAGAATCAAGATTTTGAACAGGCTGACCATGAACCATTAAGATTTTATATCGGGCTTATCTCGAACCAAAGCAAGCTTTTAACTGGTCTAAGCTTACGAATCGAACCAAGGTTTTACCAGGATAACCATAAACCGATGAGAGATTTTAAACTGGGTTGATCTCGAACCAACGAAAGCTTTTGAATAAGCTGAGCTTACGAATCGAACTGGCGACTTAGAATCTAAATCCCAAACCAAAGATTTTAAAGAGTTTAGCTCCAAACCTAACCAAACAATCCCTTATGGATAAATTTTTCAACCAAGGTAAAATTTTCCTTGGTGAATTTACAATAATACCCTTCCAAAATTACAAAGAATTCCTCACTGAATAAAATGACTTTCTCGGAAGCGCTGCGACTAAATATAAGTGAGAGAAAGTTGAAAAATATTTTTATAGATATAGTATGAGGTGTGAGATAGAGTGATCATAATTGTGGATGTTAAAATATAAAGGAAATGACCTATATTTATAGGTTAGAGGGTGACACAAAAAAGGAAAATTTCTTGGGTCAAAGTTAATGTGTCAATCGATTGACATCTTGCTCCAATTGAGTGGAAGGCCTCAAAATAATCATTTATGATGTTTAAAAAGAAAGGAAATGATATATAGGCATTGTCGTTCATTAAGACATTGTCTCAAACGATTAAGGACATCTTTTGCACTGACCCAATTGATTGGGTATAAGTGTCAATCGATTGGACAATACAAATTTTGTCCAAAATCATTCAGATAATTCTTAATTGAAGTGGTACGACTTCAAAACATTTTTAGTAATGATTCTTTAAGAAAAATTGACTTGAAAATATATTTTAGTGTGTGTGTGTAATTTTTCCATATAACTTTATGAAAAAGCCTTTATGCTTTTGCAACATATTATTCACTCATACACGACTGGGAGAGCTTTCACACTTTGAAACTTCAAGACTTGTTAGGTAATCCAATCTTATGGACACTTGCTTGAATTCTTCTTGAAAATGAGGCTTGATTTTTATTCTATTTAAGTGCCATCATCAGAGGATGTTCGAAGTGATCCTTAAACCCTTACTTGTTATGCTTGCATTTTTAAGCATTTGTTATTCTTGCATTTGATTGTCATTATTAAAACCATATTAATCATTAAAAGCATGATATCTTCCTTGATTACTGATTGAAAAAATAGCAAGTGCACATTTTCACCGATGTAGTAATAATTGGATTTTCCCAAAGTATCGATCTTGAGGACTACGTAGGAAATATGAGTTTTATTATTAATTCAATTAAACAAAAACAATAGTTTAGGGTATGATTGGAATAAATCCTTGTGAAAGATTAAATGGCTGAAAGTAAAATGTGACTTTTTCTGTTTGATTAAAAGATGTTAGAGGTGAGTGTATGATTTGCCATGAAATAAGCTTCACTCTTTAATCTCCTCAACAAGTTCATCAACCTCAATTATTGATTCTTAAGATTATCTTTCTCTAAGTCCTTAGTGAAAAATCTTTAACCTTTTACCCTAATTTCAATGTCCATTCAAATTAGTTTTGAGGTTAAGCATTCAATTATCAAGAATTATTCTGGTTATCATAGGATTGCCCTAGCCCTAGGTGAAATCATCTATAATATCATTATTTAGAAAACCTTAACACGACCGTCCGACTCTAATGTGTTAATAACAGTGAAACCCTATGGTCCCAAAGGGTACAACTATATATTCTTCTAAACAATCAAATTGATGCATAAAAAACTGCTATGTTGAATGAAACAAAGAGTTCAATATTCTTAACATTGCAAATCAGGGACACCCCTTAGCATTGGGGGGTTTAGCCTCTCATAGAATTCAAAAGTAAAATAACACATATATTATATGTAGACAATACAATAAGTTTGGAATCTTCGATCTACAATTGTTATCGCGCATGAAGATTTCTCCTATCCCAAAGCTCCTCTGGGTCTCCAGTCTTCTATCAGGAAATTATTCAATCATTCAAAAAGCATCTTTCTTCATTCTCCAAATTAGGTTTTTATAGTACTTGGTCATCCCTTAGCAATCCCAAAATGTCCAAAGTACCCTTAATGCTCCAAAAATACCTAAACTCTCAACATTGGAATTTCTAGCGCCTGGGCTGACACAGGCGTGTCACCAGACACGGGCCGTGTCACTGAACACGGGCACCCGTGTCAGCGTATGTGATTTTCTCTTTTCCAACATTTGGCCCAGCTGAATTGACACAGCCGTGTCAGTGGACATGGGCACCCGTGTCAGCGCATGTGATCCTTCCTTCAAAAGTTCATGCTTCAGCTGACTTAACACGGGGCCGTTTCGCCTTATGTCTTGCTCCAACTTCACCTTTTCTAAGTTCTCCCCCTAACAAGGCCCGTGTCAGGCGACACGGCCACCCGTGTCAGGGTCCTGAAGCACTTCTTCCGGAACTCTGAATTCTGCACTTTTCTGCCCCGATTTGTACTGTTTTATTCTTTTGAACCTGGAAAATACTAAAATACAAAATCAAAGCATAAAATGCGGTAAAATGAAATAAAACACTAGTCAATTAAAAGAAACGACAACTAAAATAAATGCACAATTCCTGTGTTAAAACCATTGATCAATTACTTGACTCGCAAAACATGGTTTCACACATATGAGTCGGCTCACCAAGCCCTATAAAATATAGGGCTTGGATCTTTAAATTAGAGTTTAAATTTTGTAAAGTATATTTTAGACTGACCCCTAAAAAGCCTGACATCCATTAGAACTACCTCGTTTGGGCGACAAGTAGTTTGTTTGGCCTACATAACTAAAAATTCTAAAAATCATGTTAATATTTTTGTCAAATCACTCAAAAATAACATATTGAGTTGCCTCGACATATAATTTTTTTTCTTTTATTATATTCAATATCTTTATGTTAAATATTACATATTAATATACTCGAATAAATATTAAATTATTTCATGTTTCACTTCACAACTTTATCGTATTATATTAGTTTGCATTGCGTTGAATATTTGTGTATTATTTTAAACAATTTCAAATTTATATTGTATTTAAAAACATGTTGT